AAACACTACCGAACTTTCGAACGCTTAAAGGCAATAACAGATTTCACCGCCCTTTATCGCTTCGTCCGTTCAAACAAATCGAACAAAACGAAACGAGGGGCTTGGATTGGCTGAAAACCCTACAAGGGTGTGATTTGCTCAAATGCTTCAAACCCAGAAAAAATTAGTTGTACCCCTCCTCCCACTTCCTTTCTTTCGCTCTACGAGCCTCCACTCTCTCTCGTTCGCCCTCTTCTCTGCTTTGCTCTGTCAAGCTCCCCTCACTCTCATTCACCCTCTCTCCTCTATGCAAAGCCCACAGATCTACAGATAACCTCTCCTCACTTTGCGAAGCTTCCCGCAACAGACACCTCCCACTGCGAATGTTATTGCAACAGACGCCAGCCCCTCATCTTGCAACAGACGACACCCCCTCCTCTGTTTAGGGCACCAATTCGGGTGAGTGATATCATATCATCTCGAAGTTTTGCTCAAACTCAACCCACAATCTTTGAATATACTCAAACCCGAATCAAGAAGAAAACCCAATTTTTTTTCAAAACGAGATTTATAAATAAAACCATATGGTTTACAATGCTATGCATGAAATTCGAAAAAAAAAATTTTACATGGGTATTTTTCAATGGAAAGCTATCTATTGTGGAAAACCTAATTTTTTTCCAAAACCCAACCCAAAAATCTACATTTTTTTACCCAATAAATCACCGAATTCTTACTTAAAAAATCGAATTTCCTAATAAATCATATAATCAATGACCAAATTATTACTCAAAAATCACAGGTCTAGCCAATCATATGAGAGCACAATTTTGATCTTTGGAGTAAAAACGCAGGGTTTTATTTACAGTGATCCACCCACTGTGAATCACTGTAAGTAAAAATTTTTAGTTCCTTTCTTTTTTTTTATTGCTACTTTTTCTTTTCTATTTTTTTGTTGTGGTTCTAAAGTGATTGTAGAGCAAAAATTTGAATTGCTTTTTTGTTTTTCTTTTTCAGGTCAATTGCACTTATTTTTTTCTGGTAACTTTTGCTAATACTAGGAATTAATGTGCAAAAACTCTTTATAGAAAATATTCAAATAAATCATGTTTTTGTAATTTGATGTGGGGCATCAATGCGAAATGTTTGTGATTTTGAGATTTACCTCAAGACATTGAGTTTTTTTTGTCTAGGGCTTTTGAATTTGTAGCAGGTGAAAATATGGGCAAATGGCATGGAGATGTATTGAGCAAGAAATGACTTTTGGGTTGTTGTCATTACCCTTTCTCAAAGTGACTTTTGGGTTGTTGTCATTACCCTTTCTCAAAGTGACATGGAGATGTATTGTTAATCATTCTTGATAAAAAACAGTGAGTCTTTTTCTTCATTTAACTGATAAAAGCAGGATGTTCAGGATGCATTTCCTTTAGATGTTGGCGAGGTCTGAAAATTTCATACTTCACACCAGAATTTTGCCTTAAACTTGTTCCTTGTGATTTTTTTTTATTTTCCTCAGGTAGATGTTTTCATTCAGTAAACGGATACCAATCAGATTCTTGGTTGAATTTCAGGCCTGACTTCTCAAATAAAGTCATAGATTAAAAATGATTTGTTTTGAGTTCTACTTGGGTTATAATTATCCACCGGCAAAAGTATGGCAATGCATTGTAATTAGACATTGACTCTGAATCTTGGTATTCCTGATATTTCTAATATCATTTTCTGAAAGGTTTAGGATCTGATACTGATCACAACATGTTATTTGGTGTTTTTGCTGATCAAATGTGAATTTAGTGGCATATCCATGATACACACAAAATAACTGCTCCCATTGCCCAATTGATTATGTCATTCACCTGCCTTTACTTCTAAATTGCCTGCTGATTACGATACTTTATGACACAACCTTTCATTTTAGACGCTCACATGGTTAATTGAGATTTAGAGGTCACTTGAATCTTAGACAATCCTACTAGTATATTAGGTTTATTAGTCATGATCCATACGTAGTCGGTTGGGTATCTTTTTTATGTATTTCAGCATTGCTACTGATGAGCAAGAGAGCATGTTCACGATGATGAATTGTTGTGAGTTATTTTAAGAGCGAAGCTCGCATATTGTTTTACTTACAAATATTGTTTATAGTCTTTTTATTAGAATGATTACCAATTTCCATTTTGTTCTTTTTTGGATGGTGGGGAAGGGGGGTGTGGTGGGGGAGATTTCTTCTTCTATATCAATGTTGTTGTATTATTGGAGTATTTTCTAAATATTGACTAGGAAATTAGAAGAGCATAGTTCTAATATGTTAATTAATTTCCCTTTTGAAAATTCAAGTTCTAGAGCTCTCTCTCTCTCTCTCTCTCTCTTGCGAATAGAACTGACAACACTCTTTGTTGGTTCCTAAAAGAAAAAAACTCTTTGTTGGTATGCATATGATAACTCCTTTTATCCCAATGTTTAGAAAATTTGACTTCAATAAATAGTTTCTATGTTTTCATTGTCTTGATAAGTTTCATTTGTAAGCTTCTAATTACTTTTTGAACGGATGATCTTAGATTTGTTTCTAATGTATGGCAAATTACTTTCTCAAAAAAAAAAAATTTAGGGAAATTACTAATATAAATGGAGCTCTGTTCTCTTCTGGTTCGATAATAGGGTTGGGCAGGACCCCTACGCATGCCTTTAGGGTTCCTACTCATGCCTTTAGCAAGGTTGGGTAGGACCACTACTCATGCATTTGTGATAATCTTATATAACTAACAATGGTAGCTTCAATGTGTTCTATTTCTTGTTTTGTGGTACTATCTAACAATGTGAAAACGTTTCATGCATCTCTTCTGAAATATCATGGTGGAAAGGTTTCTAAGTCCATTGTAGTAGTTGTGGAATTATGCAGTGAGACTATTGTTATGGTTTATTTTGAGGACCTCTTTGGTAAATAAATGACTTGGTTTTGAGGACCTCTTGTGTTGGTGTATTGATGTTGTTCATATGTTGCAGATATGACGGACCAATAAGAGCAGTTTCCTAGAGTACAATAAAGGACTAAAAGGAGAAAATCTTCATAGAATTTGTGGGTATGTAAAAGACCTATTTATGGAATATGTAAAAGACTTGACTATTTTTTTAAAATTTTGGAGACATATAAATGCTTTTTTTGTAGTTGACTTTGGGGGTTATACAAATATTCAATATTCATGTAATTTTACGGGCATGTAAAGGATCTCTTTATGGGGGCATATAAAGGACCTCTTTATGTAGCCCCTAAATAACCGATTTGGTGATTTTTGTTAACATATGTGTGACACTTCTTTCTTTTTTATGTATGTCATTAATGTGTACAATGTGGGTTTACTTGGATAGTTAAATGCATTTATATCCCTACAGTTCTCCTTTTATTTCATTTTTTATGTTGAGTGTTTGATACATTTTCACCTTATGTCAAAGGGCGTGCATAATAGCTTTATTACCATCATAGATCTGCTTTGGATAACCAGCTCTCTCTCATAGATCTCGGATTTAAATGATCTCTCTTTTTATTTATGTGTCTCAAAAAACAAAAAAAATGACATAAACTCAATAATACCATAAACCAAAGAATTTCATTCACAAAAGTTTACCATTAATTAAATAATAAACAATTGCAAACATTTACAAACCATTGAAAAGATACAATGAGGTTAAACACCTCATTAAATAGGAAAAAGCTAGATACAAATGACGCTTAAAAAAAAGGTAACCCAATTGAGTTGATTCAACCATCAACAAGTAATTTATTTTTTTTTGCTTTTTCAAGTTTTACTCTCCAGTCAAAGCTATCACCTTTGAGCATGTATTCAAAAGTTTTATTGATCTCTGAGAATGAGACTGAATATGTGAACTTCTCCATGTGACATGTACTTCTACCTTCATGTACTGAGAGTCTTCAGAGCTTGTCAGAGCTCAATATACCTGTTAACATTAATCCAAATAAGAAACAGTCAGCCGACTGCATCATCTCACATTAACAAATAGATATGCAAACGCACATATAAACATTCGCACCAACATATATAGATGTTTGAAAAATAGAGATGGTTCATGTTAAAAAGAGAAAAGTAGTGATGAAAATAAAGAAAGAAAATAATTTGAAATACAAATCAATTTCCATAGTTCTACACAAGTCATATTTTAGTATCTTAGTGCCCTCAAAAGATTAGAGTAACTTACAGGCCCATGACTTCAAGATCGATGAGCGATGGACAAACAGATAATGCCGCACAGAATGAAGCATTGTCCATCCAAAGGTGCAATCTCTTCAAAAGAGCACTTCAAACACAGAGAAGAAGAAAAAATAGCGCAGTATACTTAGCAGTACAAGGCATAAAATATCACAGTGGTGGGTTGGACAATCTACCCCCATGATCCGTTTTTAAAAAAAACTGATCCACACTAAATGTATTGTTTCTAAACTCATCATATGAGATCCAAAGCTTCCATACAACAATTCAAATAATGATCATGCCTGACATTCAAACCATACACTAGGTAAACTATATAGATAATGAACTAAATAATAAAAGCAAACATGCACAATATGGATCATGCAGTGTCTTTTATCCTTCAAATCCCACCCCTATCCTTCTAACTGTAATATATTAACTTGAATGCATATCTGATAAAGTCCACATACCACAATTGCCAAGTTACAACAATGCACAAAAGGTAAAAGAAAACTTATATCAAAAAATTATAAATAACAAAAGGACTATAAGAACAAAATTCCAGGTGAGATAGCAATATAAATAGGGAGTATCAACATTCCAAACTCCCATGGGAACTCTAAAAGATAAATTAAACTTCAATGAGCAATATCCCAATCAAACATTTAATCATAGTGTATATAACCTAGAATATAATCTAGGTGGTTTATAGTCATGTCCCTGACAGAGTTAGTTAGTCTCTTGCAAAACAGAAAACATGCAGCTAATCAGAAAGGCATGCCTTGTATTGACTGAAATTAGAGTTTGGACCATTGTAAAACTAAAATAGAGGCTCTCAATTGCTATTTTTAAATGTCCACTCGTAGTTTGGTCTTTATATTGAGTCCAATAAGTGGCGATACATCTGCAACAAAATAGTACGCTCTACATAGTATATATTGCAAGAATAAATCCAAACAAGCTCTAAACCACTCAATTAACAAGGCATGGCTTCAAAATCATGAAACCTCAAGCACAAAATAGATATTAAACCTAATAGAAACAAAAAAATAAATAAAACCAGGTCATTAAAAGTTTGCACAACACAAGTCTTATAATTCCAAGGATAAAGGAAACCTCGTATGTATTAGACACACAAATATATAAAACATTTAGATTAAATGAAAGGGATTTCAATTGTACGGAAATGTAATTGAACAATTGTGATGAAAAAAAACTGGATCCTAGTTACTAGTTATCAGCAATGAAATAGAATTATAAACAATTTTGGATTAGTAGAACTGGATCCACTAACAACTTCAAATCTTAGCACATGAGACACACAAATGTCCAGCACAATAACTTTTCAAAATTTTAAAGTCAAGCTACATTTGTTTGATTGATGATGAAAAGTTTTGTCATGATTCCAAGCCACACAACTGCAGAATATACATATGGGCTTCATAATAAAGAAACGAGCCAGAAAGCCCTTTCTTTCTCATTACCCTTTTTCATGAATGGGACATCCATGAAGAGAAAATTTTCCTTTAAATAAAAAAAGAAATGTCAGCTTCTATTCCTTGTATAGTGCCTAGAAAATAAAGGCCTTGCACTGAGACAATATCCCTCCTCCTCTCTCTCAACCAGAGAATGGGAAAAAAATGCAACCCACTTTAGCATTTAGTATCTTCATCCACTCCCATTATTCAGAATAATAACTGTAATTTAGCCATGTAAAACCTATGTAAATCTTACTTGTTTCCCGTATATATGAGTCCGCTTAATAATTATTCAGTACACAAATACCTACAACGTTAAGTAGATCAATTCTACATAAAGAATGAGAGAGAAATGCAGAACATATCTGATGCCATTAAGGAAGTTCAATACCCCTACAAAATTCATGTTTAAATGAAAAACACAAGACATTACCCTTGTTAGATTCAGAAGGAGAACATAAAACATAGAGACCAAGATTCAGAGACAATGTCTAATTGCATTGCATTGCCATACTTTTGCCAGTGGATAATTATAACCAAGTAGAACTTAAAACAAATGATTTTTAATATGTGACTTTAATTTAAAAGTCAGGCCTGAAATTCAACCAAGAATCTGATTGGTACCCATTTACTGAATGAAAACATCTACTTGAGGAAAAGAAAAAAATTACAAGGAACAAGTTTAAGGCAAAATTCTGGTGTGAAGTCTGAAATTTTCAGACCTCAGCAACAGCTAAAGGAATGAACATCCTGCTTTTATCAGTTAAATAAAGAAAAAGACGCACTGCTCTTTATCAAGCATGATTAACAATACATCCCACTTTGAGAAAGGGTAATAACAACAACCCAAAAGCCCTTTCTTTCTCAATACATCTCCATGCCATTTGCCCATATTTTCACCTACTACAAATTCAAAAGCCTTTAACATAAACAACTCAATGTCTTGGGTAAATCTCAAAATCACGAACATTACACATCGATGCCCCACATCAAATTACAAAAACATGATTTCTTTGAATATTTATTTTTCTATAAATAACTTTTGCACATTAATTCCTAGTATTAGCAAAAGCTACCGGAAAAAAATAAGTGCAATCAATCTAAAAAAGAAAACAAAAAGCCAATCCTACAATCACTTTAGAACTACATCAAAAAAAAGAAGAAAAAGGAGCAATAAAAGAAGATAAAGGAAGAAATTTTTTTTATTTATAGTGATTCACAGTGGGTGGCTCACTGTAAATAAAACCTTACATTTTTACAAAGATCAGAACTGTGCTCTCATATGATTGGCTAGACTTGTGGTTTTTGAGTAATAATTTGGTGATTGATTCTGTGATTTATTAGGAAATTCGATTTTTGAAGTAATAATTCGGTGATTTATTGGGAAAAAAAACGTAGGTTTTTGCGTTGGATTTTGGAAAAAACATTAGGTTTTCCACAATAGATAATTTTCCATTGAAAAATACCCACCGTAAAAAAATTCACAAATTTGATGCATAGCATTGTAAACCATAAGGTTTTATTTATAAATCTCGTTTTGGGAAAACCCATGGTTAGAGTATATTCACAGATTGTGGGTTGGGTTCGAGCACAAAATTCGAGATGATCTGATATCACTCACCTGGATTGGGGTCCTAAACAGAGGAGGGGTGTCGTCTGTTGCAAGAGGAGGGGATGGCATCTATTGCAGCAAGATTCGCAGAGGGTGGCGTCTATTGCAGCAACAGTCGCAGAGGGTGGCGTCTATTGCGAGCTTTACAAAACAAGGAGAGGTTATCTGTTGATGTGTGTGGGCTTTGCATCAAAGAGAGAGGGTGAATGAGAGTGAGGGGAGCTTGGCATAGCAGAGGAGAGAAGAGGGCGAATGAGAGAGAGGAGAGGCTCGCAGAGCAGAGGAGAGGAAGCGGGAGGAGGGTTAAAAGGAGATTATTCTGGGTTTGAAGGATTTGAGCAAATCACACCCTTTCGCACGCAGGGTTTCCATCCAATCCAAGCCCTTCGTTTCTTTTTGTTTGAACGGACGACGCGATAAAGGGTTTCGTTTTGTTTGAACGGACGACGCGATAAAGGGATGCGAAATCACTGTCGGTTATCGCCTATACGCGTTCCAAAGTGTTTTATATATATATATATATATATATATATATATATATATATATATA